GGTCAAGAGGATTGCCTTTACTTGTTGCTTTGATACGTTGCAACTCTGTGCTAAGGATGGCGCTTCCCGCGGACAATGCCGACTATGATGACGGTGACACATCTGAGAATGTACCAAGTTAACGGTCCTATGCTGGAAATCATCATGAATACTATAGCTGGGCATGCAAGACTATATACGTTCCACAAGGTCTTCTCCTCGCTCCAACCAAGTGGCGAAGATGAGGCCAAGCCTCATTAATACTAGGTTTGATTACAACATCACGTGCACTCTCGTGAACTTGTTATGGGAAAGAATTAAATATCGTATAATTTAGTTGCTTTAGAAACCTTTCCAATTCTATTGTTAGTTTGACCTCATTTTCCCAACTTAATCTGATCGACAGGAAGACCTCACCACATGATAATTTCCAGCATCGGACCGTTGACTTGATAGATACCCAGAAGTTTCATCGACATCATTGAATTTTATAATTAAGCTAATATCATTTATTTCGTATTTAGGTAAAGTTTAGAGATTACCAGTAAATGAGTAATATGAGGTGTATTTACCCTATTTCGTTTAAGGTGAGGAAGGACTGGTAGTACAATTTTCCCACAATGATATGAGTAGGGCTGACGTTTCCATTGAACTTAACATAGCCTTGCTTTTCCAAAAGTTGTTATCATCCAGGGTGGACTGTAGTTTTGACCTCGCATAGGTCTTATCAACACGCCTAGTGGGAGTCGAACCGTGACAGTGATGCATGTAAGGTTGTCACGTTAATCATTCGGCCACATTACTACGGGGGCCTTTGGGTCACAGGGCAGATGTGAAATTAAAGGGAGGCCAGACCTTTTCCCATATCGCATTCTTTGTTGGGATTGTCGATGAAGCAAACATATTTTTCCTTTAGCAATCGACTACGTTACTTATTTTTCGTATGTAAGTAGAGTTTCGAGACATGATAATTTCCAGTATCGGACCGTTGACTTGATAGATACCCGGAAGTTTCATCGTCATCATCAAATTTTATATTTAAGCTAATATCATATACAATATTCTCTATTCTTTTTTTTCTATTTCCACTTATTTTCTTATTTATATTTCTTTTTTTCTTCCAGTCCTCTCTTTTTCCATATCACCCTTCTCGAAATTGGTCTGATGAATATGCTTGCCTCACTCAACTTGCTTGCCTACTAAATTTAACTCCGTCAAATCTGCTTTCATCTCCCTCAGACTTCATTACGCGCTCTTCTTTGCTTCCCGATGATTTATCTCTGTCCCGTGACTTTGGCTCTTCTGTAGCCAAAGGTAATGATGCATCCACTAGTCTTTCATCCTCGGTCTTCTTGCAGGATACATCAAAAACAGGTTTGCGTTCAAAGCTCTCCTTCGGCTGGAACCGCACCAAAGAGAAATTGGCCGCTATCGACTTACCGGCATCTATTACTTCAAAATCTATATCTAAGGGCAGCAAGTGTAAAAATGACATCGATATATCTGGTTTTACGGATGCCAGTAGCTCTGATAGGTATGTCAGTTTTAGGGCCACTGTTTAATTTTGTCTTCCTTTGGCTTTGGTTCTCCTTTGTCAGCAAATCCCTGCCGGAGATAAGCAATACTGCCTATCTCATTATAAAGAATTAATTAAATTTTTAGACCCGATTTTGCGTAGAAAAATTGTGTGTAAAGATTCTATTTTGGCAGGCCTTGATTTTTGTTTACCTTGGCTAAATGATTAAATCATTCTAAATTTTCTTCAACATTGAACTTTTACTCTCTAGTAGCTTATCGAAATATTCATATGATTCGGTAGTATAAGTATAAGTACTGAAATGCATTAACCAGCTATGATGTACAGCTTATTACATAGGAAAGGTATGGAGAGAAGGACTAATTAGAAACACTTGCATAAGATTGTTCTGTTATATATTAGATGTATCCATCCTATTTGGTTTAAGGTGATGAAGGACTGGTAGTAGAATTTTCCCACAATGATATGAATAGAGCTGATGTTTGCATTTAATTTCGCATAGCCTTGCTTTTCCAAAAGTTTTTCTCATATCAAAACTCTACCTACATATGAAAAATTGTTCTGTTATGTTTGTGTCAGATAGTAAGATATTTTGGTTCTCATAACAGCCCTAGAATTCATTTAGTAATAACTGAGTATCACATACTGTTTTTATTAACTTTTTTATTTAATTATTATTTACCTAAATATTTATGATGCTATCTAGTCTTTGATAATATACCTTTTTCAAATCTTTTTTTCGTTTTATTCGGACCATGAAGTTGATGGTTATTAAAAATGCCATCTTTAATGCGAAGTTAAAATTGCATTAAATCCTTAACCTTCCCTCACTTTAAGCTTCCTATGGTTACCTTCATAATCAATAGAATATAAATATGAGTTGTAT